TCTTTGACACTTTTGATGTCTTCCGACAAGCACACCTCAGAGCATTTCATCCATCTTCCTTCGTTTGCTGTTCAAGGTGTGATTTGGGAAGAGAAAATTTGGCCATCTTTTCCTCATTATTAATGGCGATGTTGACTTTCCTTAGTCCTTCATCATGGCTGGAAATCAAAATGGCTTTCTCTTAGACAAGTCGAAACGCTAATCCGGTTACCAGAACCTCGTTAGTCTACAGTTTCACCGCAGAAGCTCAGCACAGTATTCTCCACTTCCTCTAACCTTTTCTGCAAAGGTGATACTAAGGCTGGATTAAAAAAATTAGCATGATACACACCCACATTCAGACAGAAGATATATACAAAATCCCTTCAAAAAACAATTCATCCGACTTTTGCGAGAGCTGCTGCCACACCTCAAAACCACCACTGATGATTGGACACTTCGCGTTTAATGGTTCGCTAGCCCTTCACGCTTATTGCTTTAAAATGAACGACCATCAATGCATCCAAGCGGTACTTACGACCTCATTTCTGATTGCCAAAGATTTTTCGCTACAGCTAATTTTCGAAGCTTCAGGTCTCAATCACCCTGTACTTGCCGCTGATGACTGAAGTAGACGAAGCGTTTTTCTTGTCGAGAGGTTTTTCAGTCGTCGGCTGTTTGACAGCTTGTCAAAATTGCCCAAATTTCCAAGGTTTTAAGCAATAATATGTTTCAGCATTCGAACGATAGCGAAATTTTTCATAATGATATACGCCATACCATCCTCACTCTGCCATTAAGGCGCCTGACCCTCCGAGGTCCGTAATGAAATATTTTGTCAATTTCATTATTGCCATATGCACTGCCAAGCCAACTAACTGTGCTTGTCATAAAATATCATTCTCAACTCGATATTTGTTTTATAGTCGCGAGGTATAAAGCAACAGTGACATATGAGAGTACTTATGAAACGTTGATGGCGTTCCTTAATTACCTGTTCCTCAAATAACTCCTGTTGCTTAATTTTTCTGCCCACTGGTCCTCCCGTTTCAAATGAATAACAGCACAACTCAGTGCATGCAGCAAAAGTCACCTTGCTTGATGTTGAACATTCTTCTTCAGTTCCTAAGCTAGTTTCATTCCATATTAAACGGTGACCTCATAGAATACAAACAATTTCCAGAGAAACAATCCCACATTCAGAGAACCGGTGTCGCCCCGCAGCCAAAATTATACACACATATACACAAACTAAGGTAATCATGAGTCTTTTACAGTATCGAAACCGTCAGATAGGAAACCAGTGGCAACCGAGGTGAATGAAAAGCATGCGTCAGAGTTGAGTAGCTTACTTTTGTAAAGACCTTATCCTTAGAAGGCACCTACCCTTTGTCTTACCCATGAACAGAAGTTGGCATTCATTTCATTGCTGGTTTTGGACCTGATGTCACCCGATGTGGTAAATGGATAGCAATGTTTTTAGTGCTCAACAACAAATCCTCAAAAATACACTTCGACTTCTTTGTAACTTTGATTCTTCATTGTTTCTTCAGTAACAATCTGTTTCTAACCACATTGTTGTGTTCTATCGCATGTGATATTGTCTTAAACCTGCAAATTCATTAGCACATCATCATACAACATATCATTATGCCTTGAAAACGAGTAGAGTACGGTTCGAAGCGCGTTCAATTTGTGTAACAAAATTGTGAACAATTCCGGAATAAACATGATGACTAATTGATATACTGAATAAATGAGGAATGTTTCATTTTAAAGTATGTAACTTCCTCGAAACCTAAGTTCATAACGTGTTGCACTGCACATTTGCTCATAATTTCTGTGAGGAACCATGCAATGGCTCTATGAAATTTGAGTACCAATAGCTCTAGCTGAACCGCACTTCAATTTGCTGAGTGATACAGTACTGTGACATGGTCAGCGGTTTTCTGGAGCACCAAAATCAAGAGGAAGGTGCAGCATGATATGAAATTCTGTTTTGGTGGAGATATGCGCCTGTTAGCAAACTCTTATGTACCAATCCATTTCTGTCAATCACCATGTCAGTCTAAAATTTATTAAATCATCTATTTTGCACTTAGAAGCGAATCAACAGTTCAATGGTATGCATCTCTACCGATTAAAATATGATGTAAACGACGATTTTAGCATTCGCCTGCATAAAACAATAAGTGTCACCATTCACTCAGTATAAAACATTACTTGCCGACTCAAGGGGCCCTCTTTAGGGCCAAATTATATGAATAACGTTTTTTTTGCACAATAGTCTTATGTCATTCAGCCATAACTATATTTGCCGTTGTCTGGTCTTTCTCTTAAAATATTTCCTTACGCCTTTTTCTTATGCTAAAATGGACGATGGCTCAAAATCCTTAAGCGGTAGAGCGGAATTCGTCATTAGTGAGTTTCGTCTCCTCGAACGCTATTTTCCGTTGCCGTTCTAGCGTTATTTTACACTATGATTACCAACCCATGAATCAAATGCTCTATCAAATAAACTTGTTTTAAAGCTAATCAGCCTTGCTCTGAAGATCGCATGAGAACGAGATCAGAGAGAAGAAAACGTTTGGTGTGAACTTGAGTGATTAAGTAAACGTATCACATAAATGAGCTACTGACTACGATCAATACAGTAATTTCGAGGAGCGACTGACGGCGTCTGATCTGATGAGCCTCGTCAAACAAAATGAAAATTGGCAAACGAGCCGTTCGGTGGACATCACAGACTAAGTACGGTTTTTTACGACCCTTCCATCTAAGCCTATGGGCCAAATGACCAACACGTGGCTGCAGTAATTAAACCGAGTGCACGCCGACGTCGGAATGGCTCCTTCGAAATCGATCGCCGTTTGTCAACCGGGAATGAGTGACTAATTAGGGTAATTACAAATGAGAAACTCGACTGTTGTTTCCACATGACTGGACACCTCAGTTCCATCATCGTACTGTTGCTTGATCCGTACTGGAAGCACAGAGGTCAAGTCAACTGCAGCGAGACATGAGAACAACATTTGCCGGTTAATATGACCGGTGTCCCCGGGTTCAAAGGTTCACCGATGATAGTATCGCAAATTTATAGAGCTGGGGAACTTTGTGAAGGAAAGATCATTGCGTGTGATTAGACTCTAACGACGATTCTTAACATTTAGTCGTCTCTCACTTTCGTTTTTGCCTATTTTCGCTTGGCGTTTGGAAACGCATCATTAAAATGGAAGGATAGTGGAAAGCGATTTCCGATGCACCGTATATTTTTGCCGTACCACAGTTTAGTTGAGCTATAGAGCGGACATTCGATGCAAAGTTTATCCACTATTGGTTCATCCGCTTGATACTCGCGTTGGAACGAATCGTAAGATTTCCGTCAATCCATCCGCCTGTAATACTTTTAGTTACTATGCGTCTACGGCAGCATGCTTCTCTTCATGTCCTGATCAGTAGATGGAAAGCAAGTCGGAGATATTTTCCGGAACTCTTCAGAGGAAAGATACATAAGTCCCCCCCCCATCCTTCTGAGATTGATGAGTACCGCCATGTGGGAAGAAAGCAGGCGACTGCACACTATGCTTGACACGTGGAGGCACATAGCTAGTGTGGACTCTGTCATTAAACTGAAACACTTCTGGCTAATAGCATGCAAATGACGATCAACGCTCCGCCATTAACTTCATGAGAAAGGGCATCAGAAATGGCATCTTAATGAAATTATAAGGAAGTCCAACTTTCTAAAAGGGAAATTTTCCTTCTGATCATTTCCCTGATTCTTCGAACTCATCTCCATGATGTCGAATCGCTTTATGAGCAAATGTTCTCTCGACAAGGCAAGTATGTCAGCTACAAAGTATCACTCTCCCTCTCCTTTGAATTCTGTTAGTGTATTTGGAGATGGCATAGTTCTTTATTAATATGCCAATTAATTTTTTCACCTTGACATGTGATTCTGCCCTCTGTCCATCGATAAATATTAGCTTGAATTTTAAATGATTCCTTGGTCGCAGATACCTGAACAGTTGTGTTACAGTATTACACCATACAACTCTCTTCTGAATATGCACTTTATTTCAGTTTAGTCAAGCTTGACGACTGATGGTATCGTTAAACGCGTCCTAAGTGCACATATTGTGTCGACGGACATCTGAGGGATAGGCAATCCAGCGTTACTGGTAATTTCTATAGCAGTTAGTATGAACAATAGATCCTCTTTTGAAAACGAGTCTCTACCTCGTACTCTGTAACCTGGGATTAGCTGTAAAGTAGAATTCAGGGTTAAAAATTGTGAGACACACTTCTTTCGGGAGGTCGATGAATTTACAGCTTCGTTTATCCACTTTGGTTCTTCAACAAGTTTTGTACACCCATTACAGTTGTGTTTTGCCATTATATCCGAGTATCATTTTAAACTTTTTTTTCATGATTTTAGTGATTTCATTGTAAACACAGCAGGTC